AATGAAAAAAAAATTGTGGCAAAGAAGAAGATCAGATATGTTGTAAAGAACAAAAACTAGAAACTACCATGAAAATATCTGAAGCAATGAGGAACATGCGGCCTATATCCACCAAGAAGAATCAATCAGGGTATCTGCTAGTTAAACATATCACAATTAAAAACAAAATAAACAAAAAATTCAGGTATAATACATACTGATGTCCGTTCCTTATATTCGGCGAGAAGAATAAGATCCCTTATAGGCAACTTTTGGAAGTCAATCTCATCCTCTGGGGTTTCAAGTAAAACCTTGTCCACTACAAAATACAAAGGTATTTGGTCAACAAAAAAATTGAGGGAATCCATGATTCCATATGCCTCACAACTTTCATATCCAGAAATCGGAGTTACCTCGTCTTCTACTTCTCCTAGTAGAATGAGAGAACTTTTTACGAGGCTCTTTAGCTGACTTATCTGACTCTTCACCATCCATCTTACGCTTTTGAGATGGTTTTTCTGTCTCAGAAACATTTTTCTTGGACTTTCTCCGCACTTTTTTATTTTGGGATTCATTTTCCTTTTGATATTCATCATCATCATCATTCTCATTTATAACAGAACCAGCAAGATCTCCAGCTGCAAACTCCACATCGTCAAGGGCCTCGTCCTCAGGCTCGTCTATAAGTTCAAATGCATTTATCCGCTTTCTCCTCTGCCGAATTGATTTACCAGCTTCACCTTCCTGACCCAAAGTAGATGCTTTTTGGTGTTTTGGAGAATGACCTGGTACTGTAGGAGCTTTTGTCTTTCCACTTTCAGCTCTCCGAAAAGCCTAACTTATGTGATATATAATGTATACAGAAGAAAGAAAAAAAGATAAGGATGAAAAGTAAAAGTATCCTATCAGACTGAATAGGGTAACTGTATTCATTTCAAAATATAAATACACAAGAAACTTCAGAAATTGAGGCCATGTTTGGTTAGCTTTCCGGAAACTGTTTTTTGTTCTCAAAATTTCAAAAACACCCAAAACCTGTTTGTTTAGCATTTTTGTTTTCAAAATTTTGAGAAAAAATGAGATTTGAGTCAAAGAAACAGAAAACAAGTTTAACTTGTTTTCAGAGTATTCTTTAAAAATTTTGAAAACAAGGAGAATAATTTTGGACTTTAACGAGGTCTGCCGTTCGAGTCTCCTTAGCAGCAAATTTCTTCATTCCTTTTTTTTTACTTCTTCCTCTCTCTCATAATATATAATATATATTATAATATATAATAAAAATAAATTGTCAATATAAAAATAAATTTTTTATATTTTTTTATTAATGTTTGAATTACTGTTCAAATATATATTTAGGCTGTCCAAACAGATTTTACTATTTTCTGTATTATAAAATTTTTTTTTGAAATCATCTAACCAAACAAGTTTTTTATCTAAAAAAATATCAAAACCATTTTCTTAAAACTCTTATCAAAAACTGTTTTCAGATAATAGTTTTTGAAACGCAAACCAAACAGGCCCTGAATGTTTTCTCACCTTTCTAGGCAATTCAGAAACACTATCCGATTGTTCTCCATGGATGGCATCCCTTGAATGAGAAATCTCTGTACAATGTGCCATTTCTTCATTCACAGGGAGCTCAAATGTAGGATCAAGGGGAATAGAATCGCTGAATCCAACAGATGATAAATCAATAGCATCATAAGGTTGCAATAATGGCGCTGAGCCCCCATCCACAGGACACGAAACAGACTGGACCGGTTCTTCACTAGGAATGCTAGCAGCATGTTTCTTTATAGGAATTTGTGGCTTGGGCTTGGGTTGGTATTTGCCAGTCCGCCGTCCTGAATCCAAAATGACTAGGTAAAGAGCTCAGAATGGTGAAGCATAAGAAAATATAAAGTAAAAAATGAAGCACGCAGCTGAATTTTGCATATACCGGATCTATTGGTCATCTCAGAGATAACACCTGGTGTTTCCAAGCCAGGAAAAATGTCTGCTTCCTGAACCTAGCCAAAGTTGAAACAAAAGCACTCCATAATAAAAATTTCACACAGTAAAAACTAGTATATGTAAAGGATGAACAAAGAATGCAGGTAGGTATTCACCTCTGTTTCCAACCATGTATTATCGATATGAAAATCTCCATCACAATTAGAAACAGGAGTGTCCCTGCAGGTCAAACTATATTGAGCTGCAGGAAGCTGAGTACATGTGGGAGCAGGGGCATTATCAAAGTTCCCCGCCGTGTCATTGACAGGATAAACCACTGGAGTACCTAGTCCTCCTTCTGCATTCCTCATATCGGAAACACGGCCATTTGATGGCTCTGAATGAGGAAGAGTATGTTCTGCAATAGTACTTACAGAACATGAAGCAGCAGAGTAATGGTTCCCCAATTGGGCACTCATGTCAACCTCAGGAGAAGACCTACGTCCAGCATTCACTGCCCATAGAATACTCTTACATGAAGCAAGGTGTGCAAAATCTTACAAACAGAACATATTAAAAGTAAAATATTTCAAATCATACCTCTCCTACTGATTCATATCAATATATTTCAAATCATATTAAAACTAAAACAGAACATACTCACCCATTACAGTTTCAGGTCGACAAAGCAAATCATCAAGTGATTCCAACCCAAGAAAAATGTCTACATTCTGAAAGTAATATAAGTTATTAAACCTAGTGCCCACACTATTATAAACCAGCAAAACAAGAGTTAAATATTTCAAATCACACCTCTCCTGCTGATTTTTCAATGCAAGAATAAGAATGCCAGTCTCCATCACCCTCAGGAATTGCAACATGTTCTGATGAGGGGTTCCCTAATTCAGAGCTTCTAATGTCCTTTGAGAAATGAACTCCTGAAAAAGAATCTTCATTTTCATCCCTGAGAGTCTCAGTACATTCATTCTCAACGACACTAAGAGATTGTGTACAAGGAACAGAAGAAGATGATAGTTTTCTAGGTCTGGGTTTGGCCTTGGGTTGAAACTTGCCACCAGCCCTAGCTGCAATAGAATTTAACATGAACTGATTAGCAGTTATACATGAGCAACACAAAAATCAACAAATTGACAACAAAGAAGAAAGTTGAACATACCGTTCTTCGTAACAGCACCAGTCAGAATATCATCTAAAGGATCCAAATCGAACTCCATGACAAGAATATCATCTAAGAGTGCTGCTCTCCTTCACTCTTTGGCATCACAATGTCTACTATCCGAAATTAGGGCTAATGGGCATCATAGTTTTAAAACCTGGTCCGGACATAAACTCGGGAAAGTGACCGGGTCAATGGGTCCCTGGTTGAACCGGTAATATAATAAAAAAATAAATATTAATGATAATAAATAGGCTAAAAAATTGTACTAATTATAAAAATAACATGGTTAATGTATATTACATCAAACAAAAAATCTAAAATCATCAAACATGTATCCAATGCATTCAATTTTCAATAACTTGTAAATTTTAAGTAGAGAAAAAAACATCTATGACAATAGTGGCATAGGTTTATTGCAGATTAGGTAACATATCAAGTCCAATTAGAATTACTTGTTAGCATGTAGATCAATCTAACACAATTAATCTGCCAACCAGCTTTCAAAATTTAGCAAACATTGTACAAAACATTTCTTAATATCTAACCCATTTCTTATTCTCTAACACAATCCAACAGTGGTTCATTTCTCAATGAGTCATTACAGAATTTACAGAATAGGATCTTCAGCTAATAATAATGGGTACAAAACATGTTTTGAAGTGTATGTTGGATCTAAGGAGTCGTTTGGTAACGCTTTTGTTTTCGTGTCTTCAAAAAAATAAAAAACAGAGACAATTTTTGTCTCTATTTTGTGATAAATACTAAAATAGAAAACATGTTTGAGAGTCATTTGTGTTTATCACATTATGAGAATAAATAAAAAACATGTTTGGTAACTACTTCAAGTTTTATCTTAAATATACTTTATAATATCTCATACAACAAAATACAAATCTAAAATTTCCTTAACCCAAAACATCTACTAATTCATCAAAGATAATTAGTAATTGTAAGTTGACGGGAAAACAAGTTTGAATTGTAATTGTAATTATTAGCTACCAACATTGTTTGAAGCCTTTGACAAATATAAGTTGACAAGGAAAACAAGTCTAACACACAGACACATACACAAACTCACACATACCACACACAGTCACACAGTCACACAAAACACACACACTCACAGAACACACACAGATAGACCACACACTCACACAGATGGGGACCAAAACACACACGGCCACACAAAACACAGTCCCACAAAACACACACTCGTACAGAACACACAAAACACAGACAGGGACCAAAACACACACAGCACACAGACACTCACACAAAACACACTCACAGACCACACACAGTCGCAGAACACACATTTTTTGTGTGTTCTTGCTCGGCCTTTTTTGCACCATTTTTTTATCCCTCTTTACATTATTGTTTGCCCTTGATTTCAGGACCAGGAAGCTCGAGGGAGAGGATCAGCTCAACCAAACTATGTAAATTGGGACTTGTCTTTAGCACAATGGGGTAAAAAGCTCAATTCACTTACCTTCAATGACTGTGACAATAGACACCCACCCTTCATGACCACTTTGCTGCCCCATGAACAGTTTTAGCAAGCTTATGGCGTATAACATAAACAATATACATTCTTTCTGGCAATTCATCGAATACTTTATGGGCATATAACAATCAATTTCAATTTCAAACAGAAAACACTAACACTAATTTCAAACCAAAAAATAGTACAATCCAACCTTCAAGCTAAGCAAAAACGAAAACCTAAATGCCAAGGCTGCTCCGTTTGAGTTTGACTGAGAGGGGCTGATTCGATCGAGTTCACCTGAGAGGGGCTGAGTCGATCGAGTTCGACTGAGAGAGCTTGAAGTCGATCGAGTTCAACTGTGAGAGAGAGAAATAGAGAGAGGGGGGCTGATTCGTTCGAGGGTGTGAGAGAGAGATCTGTACGATGGATGCTAGGGCTTTGATAGTGGAAGTAACGCTGGAGAGGGCTTCGATAGTGGAAGTAACGCTGGAGAGGGCTTCGATGATGGTGGTGCTGGCGTTATGGCGGGGGCAAGGTCATTGAAACTTGCGAGCAAAAAGATGAGGGAGGGAGACAAAAAATTGAGACATAGTTCGAACAACAAAGAGAGGGGACAAAACAGAGGACTGTGAGAGGAGAAGAGAGAGTCGTTGGGAGAGAGGGTGTGAGAACGAAAATGAAAAAAAAACGACCACAAGGCATCATATTTATTCTATCACCACATGTTGTGGTCTTTTGTTGCTAACAGGGGTCGAAGTTGAGATCCCATTAAAATTCTTCTTCTCAAAACCGTGTGTTTTGTGTTTCCTTTGTTTCTTGGAACACATTTTTTTTCCCATTTTTTCAACTTGTTTGCTAGACAATTAATTTGAAACAAAAAATAAAAACAATTATCAAACATGTTTTTATTTGTTTTTTTGACAAAAACTAAAAACAAAGACATAAAACACGAAACAAAAACAGTAAACAAACACTTTTCAGCTAAATTCTTGTTTTTTTTGAATCATGATCCTAAATCTGGAGGGCCACTAAAGTTTCACAATTTTAGTGTTTGTAACTTGAAAGTGTAAAGTTCTCTCCTTAGGTCAACTATAGGAGTTCCCCTTTTTCCCCTTTTCTTCCCATCTTGTTTCTCATCCTTTCTAATCGCCAACTACTTTCGTCTTCTTTCTCGTATGTTTTTCCTAGCACAAGGATCAAGACTATTCAGATCTGTGGTGCTCAATCGTGGCTTTGGTTTCTTGTTCGTTGATTTTTTGGTTTTTCGTTTTCCCATTTGTTTCATTGTGGTTAGGGCTTGTTTTTTGAAGGAGGCATTATGGAAGAAGGTTTGCTTAATAAGCTTCAAAGTTTTTCTCTTACAGAGGAGGAGGATGTGGCTATTGATTTTAATACTGAAGACATTGCAGAAGGCTTGGAGGAGTGTGTTTTGAGTGTTTATGTGAAGATTTTGTCTGAGAAATATGTTAACACCGTAGCTCTAAAGAATACAATGTCGGGGGTTTGGGGGTGTAAAGATTTGGGAGTTATGAGGATTTCATCTAATATTTTCCAATTTTTCTCGAAGGAGGAGAGGGAGATTTACAAAATCCTATTTCAAGGCCCATGGTGTTTTGATAACTCTTTGATTATCAGTTACAGATGGTTCAAAGGTATTGGTGTTAAATCAGTTCCTTTTGATTTGGTCCAATTTTGGGTTCATGTTAATGGTCTTCCTCGCGAATGTATTACCAAGGATATGGCAATCAAAGTTGCTGATAGTTTTAAGGAGTGGGAGGTCGTGGAAATTCGTGAATAGTTTGGGAAAGGTAGCTGATTCATGAGGTTAAGGGTTGTTGTGAACATTACAGTACCCTTTCGTTGTGGAATTAAACTCCGAGATAGGATGGGGGATACCCATTTTGCCTTGTTTCAATACGAAAGGCTACCATATATGTGTTATCACTGCAATAAAGTTGGGTACACCATGAAGCAATGCACTGGGCTAAATGCAACTTTGGAAAAGGAAGAAGGGAAGGGTTATCAATATGACAATTGGTTGAACGCTACTGTTACTAAGTCTAAGTTGGTTCTACGGCACTGGACTGATTCTGGCTCATCGAAAATTGTGCCGGTGGCTTCTACATCGATTCTAGATTTGGGGCTTGATCATGGGCAATTTCAAGGGGATTCTAGGCACAATGGTGGGCCAGAAATCAGGGACTGCAATCAAAGGATCTCTACTATTAATGAGAGAATTCTGGGAGAGGTAATCTCCTCACAGATTGATAGGGAAGTTTCGATGATTGGTTTAAATAAAGAAAGGAGGGAACGGGTAATTTTAGTTAGGGATGAGGCTTTGGGCCCTACAAAAACTATATAGGCCTCTATGGTTAGTGAACTATATGAAGTGGGCTTAACCTCAGAGTATCCAACTACGGTTCATATGGAGCATTTGGAGTCTGTGGTAAACACGGACTCATTCACTAAAGACTCCAAGGACCCAATTCCACGGGAAGACATTTCTTTTTCTGGAGAAAAGTCTCTGTCTTCCGAGCTACACATTGGGACAGTTAGGGCTTTGAAGTTGGTTAGCAAAGGTAAAGGTAAAGGGACGTGGTCCCGCAAGGCTAAAACTTCTACTCTAGCTGAAAATTGGGAAATCCAGGAGGTTAAGGTGGGTGGTAAGAGGCAGAGAGAAGACCTAGGGTGGCCAACAAATTCTGGAAAAGGCAATGCTTCTTGTAAGAAGGCTCAAGTATTACAATCTACATCTCTCAACTCATCATTATCAGCGGAGACTGTTGATTAGTCCCGTCGGGAGCTATGATAAGCTTCTGCTAGAATTGCCGAGGGCTTGGGAACCCTTGCGCAGTCTGTGTGCTTCATGATTTGGTGAAGCGAAAAGAGCCCAGTTTGACTTTCTTGATGGAAACCAGACTATTTTCTGACGAGATTGATAAAATAAAATTTCGGGTTGTCGCAAGGGTTGGTAGTTGATTCGCGAGGTAGAGGTGGGGGACTTGCTTTATTGTGGAAAAGGGTAGTTTGAATTAGCATTAAAAGCTTCTTAGATTTCCATATTGAAGCAGTTATTAATGAGGGGTTCCTAAGTAATGGCGTTTTGTGGGCTTCTATGGTCACCCTAATGCTAGTTCTAGGAAGTATTCATGGAGACTGTTGAAGCTATTAAATTAGAGATCCCACCTTCCTTGGATTTGTGGGGGAGATTTCAATGAGATTGTTTCTTCGGAAGAGAAATGGGGTGGACAATATCGTTCAAGTTGGCAAATAAAGGATTTTTGTGAAGCAATTGATGTGTGTCATTTAAAAGATATGGGTTTCAAGTGTATCCCTTTTACATGGTGGAATGGGAGTGTCCATCCTCACTCAATTAAGGCGAGGTTGGATAGAATTTGGGCGTCTCTTCTGTGGTCCTCCAGTAGTGTTGAACATATACCTACTATGGACTCGGACCATTGTCAAATTTTATTTCGTGTATCAAATTCACAAGATGGTGGAGTAGCAAGGAGAAGGGAAAAACGGTTTCGTTTTGAGCCCATGTGGCTTACTGACCCATCTTGCTCGGAAGTAATCCAACAATGTTGGCTTGGTTTCGGGTTGGGTTCGCTTGTACAACACTATCTTAGTAATATGAGAAGCTACAGAGTAGGTTTATTGAAGTGAAAGTACGAGAAGTTTGGAAATATAACCACCAAGTTTCAGAAGAATAGAGTGAGGATGTCCAACTTACAGGCTAGAGTTATCACAAAGGATATAAGAACTGAATTACGAGAGGTAAAATTTCAAATAAACAACCTGTTGGAAACGGAGGAGACAATGTGGAGGCACCGTTCAAAATCATTGTGGTTGAAGGAAGGGGATAGAAACACGATCTTCTTCCGTGCTCAAGTGAGTTCGAGGAAGCAGAGAAATTTGATCATAGGCTTGTTTAATGAGGGTATTTGGGAAAACACAACAGGAACAGATTGAACAAATAGTAGTCAATTATTTTACGGATTTATTCAGGTCAGCACATCCTTCTTCTCACCA